GCAGTACCAGGCTAGACGGCAGGTTCAATGTCACCTTACTTTGCTCAACATAGTCCAACCGATGACAAAGAACACACGATGCAACCACTTGGTCCTTGCCAATGCGTCATGGGCCATCGCATACACAAAAAAACACACACAAATCCGCAACACCATATGAAAAGTGGACTGGAGGAGGAACCAAGCTACGACCGCAAAAGAAGAAGCTGTGTAAAATTCTTGGGCGTAGCCGGTCCTAACCCTAGTCCTGCCTCGGCCAGGTCCCGGGGATCCACAGGGCCATAGGCCCGCCCGGTTGTAGTGCTGTAGTAGAGCTGCCGGACCTGTCCGAACAAAGTTTTAATGCTTAAGAGCATACAAGGAGGGTGAAGTAGTTCTGGGGGTGTATTTGGAACTTCATGTGCTCGAGCTGAAAGAAGTGCAGAGCTTCTTGCGTGTATGATACAAACACGTTGGCTGCCTTTGCGCAGCACATGGCTTCAGAACTTTCACCGTCTGGGTGGCTGCACCAAGCATCAATCTTGTTTGCTATGGTCCCCTGACTTGCAGGCCCCCAAATGAACCTCGGCCAGTCCCGACAGAGTTCAACACTTCCCCAGACCCATAAGAGGGTCCGAACAAATGAAGGGATACAGCTTAAGACAATGTTTGCTTTCCTTGCGTTGAGTTGCGGTCTTTTTGCAAGGAAGGGAGGCAAGAGCTTGTGACTGTGGATAAACTCAGGATAAGCCCTTGCTTCGCTAACAAGAAGGACAGGCCCCCTTCCTGTAGTCTCTTATCTGATTTTCATGACAACTGTTCAAGCCGGTGCAGTTCTGATGCAGTTCCGAACATTCGTCGCGACAATCTCACGACCTCCACCACGACCCCGTCAAGCCCTGGTGGCCTACCGGGGCTTAGTAGGGAATCTGAGGCCATACTATATAGCACAGGAACTATATGGGGATTGTATTCCCTTATTCCCTCCTGAATGGAGCGGCTGTGACATCTTCTGCGCCAACCCGGTGCTCCCTCAACATGGGGATGATGCCGACACTGTCAGCCAACAAGCAACATCATTGCCATGCTGGGGCCTTGCTACACCTCAGGCTGGAACCCAATGGAACATGGCCTGAGCCAGTTCGAGCGTCTCAGGTAGCGTTCAACTCTGCATCGCCTTATGACAAGCACCGACGGCGGCGTTGAAGCTCACCTGCATAGCTACCACCTGACAGCTGGTCGGAGACTGAAGATACCGATACGACTGGACTTGACCAACGGAAAGAAACAAAATGTACAGTCCTCGCGGAGCCTCAACATCCAGCATGCCAGACACGAGATGCGTGGCTTCTTTCCATTGCCCGGCTTTTTCGCAAGCACTGATGGCAGCACAAAAGCTGATCTCATCTGGTTTGCCGGTAGCATGGCGAAGCTGGGACAGTGGCTGGAGAGCGGTCTGCCACTCTCCGGCCTTCTCGCAGGCACTGATGGCAGCACCGAAGCTAACCTCATCGGCTGAAAGATTCCTTGAAGGCATAGCACAGAACAAGCACAGCGCCGGCTGCCACCTGCCGGTCTTTTCGCAAGCGCTGATAGCCGCGCTGCAGCTTATCTCGTCGGGCTGGATGCTTCTTTGGCTCATACCTTGAAAGAGCAAAAGTGCCAAATGCCACTCACCGCTCTTCTCACACGCGCTGATGCAAGCATTGCAGCCATTGCTGAGCTGTGGCAAGGCCGCGCGCCCGCGCGGTGCAAGTTGTAGAGCCAGGCGCCATTGCCCGCCCTTCTCGCAGGAACTGACTACAGCGTTGCAACCAATCCGGTTGGCATTCAGCTCAGCTTCCGGCATGCAATGAAGCAGGTGAAGGGCCGTGCCCCACCAGGGCGCCCTCTGGAAGGCACTCAGCGTCGCATTGAAGCTGATGGTGTCTTGTTGCATCCCAGATCCAGGCATCTCCCACAGAAGATGCGATGCCATCTCCCATCTGCCGCCTTTCTCACACGCGCTGCTAGCTGCGTTGGAGCTGATCTCATTAGGGGGCACCTGTGATTGCATGCTGAACATCTGTTGGAGTGCCATCTGCCAGAAGCTTGCTCTCTCACAGGCACTTATGGAGGCACCATAGCTGACTTCATCAGCTCTCAGCTGGAGGTGCCGGAGGTCAGCAAGCAAAGAGACTGCAATCTGCCACAAACCTGCCTGTGCACAGGCACCAATCGTGGCATTGAAGCTGATGCTATCCGCCTTGAGCCTGAATTCCAGCAGCCCCTCGAGCAAGTGGAGAGCAGTCGGCCATTGCCAGCCTTTCTGACAAGCACTGATGGCCGAGTTGAAGCTTATCACGTTTGGTGCCAGGTTCTCTTTGGGCATGTTGATAAGGAGGCTGAGGGCCATCTGCCAGCAGCCACCCTTCTCGCAGGCGCTGATTGCGGAATTGAAGCTGACCTCATTTGGCCTCACGCCTGCGCGTGGCATCGAAAACAGCAAAAGGAGCGCCTCTCCCCACCGCGCAGCCCTGGCACATGCACTGATTGCAGCACTGAAGCTGATGTGGTTCGCAGTAGCCTTCAGCCTGTCCATGCCAAACAGCAAGCAAAGCGCCAATTGCCAGTGCCCGGCCTTGTCACAAGCAGTGATTGTGGAGTTGATGCAGATTTCGTTTGCAGTCAAGCGGAAGTCTGGCATTGCGGACAGCAAGCCAAGCGCCGCCTGCCACTGCCCGGCTCTTTCACAAACGTTGATGGCTGCACCGAAGCTGATGACATTGGGGGACATCAATTGCTGGAACAGTTGCAGGGCCAGTTGCCACTTGCCAGCGCGTCCGCATGCGGTCAAGGCTGCATTAAAGCTGATCACATCCTCCTCTGACTTCTCCCGCATCTCTGTGAAAATGCTTAGTGCCATCTGCCATTCCTCGGCTCGGCCGCAGGATGCGATGGCCATGTTAAAGTCGCGCAGCTCCGCCGTGGAAGTCCCTAACTTAAAAAGCGCCAGCTGCCACCCCTGGCCATCAGCGCTGGGAGAGGCCTGCTTGGCAAGCTCCATAGCCGAAGGCCCCTCAAACTTACTGGAGGGTAGTAGGGAATGATATGCGTAGGCATTATATTCCCTTATTCCCTACTACGCACCAGTGAGCAAAGGCCCGCATCACGTTTTGACTCAGGCCCCTCAGCTCGAGACCTGAAATTCAGCAAACCCCGAAACCCCAAGAGTCACAAGATGCAGCGGCCGACGAGGTACCCTCTGCTGCTGACGAGTTCATATGTCAGCCCTCCGCCGCCCTGCGCCTAAAGCTTGGAGGAAACAACTTGCAGTGGCCTGAAACCCTACTGCTTCTAGCACTAACGGCACTCTCCAAGTGCAAGGTGTGTTGCCTGGTCTCGCCCAGCCCCGGCGATTGCTGTGCGCGAAGGCCCGAGCCTCCAATGCCGTGCAAGCTTTGATGCACTCCATGCTTGCGGACTTCTCCAATTTGTGGGTTCCTGCTATCGACAGTGCATGTAGCCTGATTTGCAGAAGCTGTAGTAAGCTTTGAGAAATACCCATGGCAGGTTAGGCGGAGGCTTACAGGTTGGGACTCATTCCACAAACGATTCTTTGTCAACATACATGAGCCCTGCTCTCAGCTACGTACGAGCCTTTCCACAAAAGCCAACCTCCCAACCGAACTCCTCAGAGTCAGCATGACCCTGGTAGTACTTGCAAATATTGTGAGCATCTCAGCACCCGTGAAGCACTCCAACACACCGGCAATGGCAAGGGCTAGTGGCTAGCGTGTGCGCAGCTGAAATGTCACAGGACCCCTCCGAACCAACCCCTCCTAGGAAAGCCTCCTGAAGGTTGAGAGAAGCTTCTATGGTCAAAACAGAAAGGTATCCAGATTTCCTGTCTTGTGGAAGCCTCGTTGGCTCGAGGCACTTCGGCATGCTCACGCGGCCACTAAGTAACCGCCCCAACCCTTGCAACAGATGTTACAGCTGGGCGCAGCTTACACAGCCCAGGAGTTTCAGGATAGGCCAGCTGAAATGGTTGAATTCAGTCAAACCTGAAGCTTGCAATTGCCTGGCTTTGGATTTAGGAAAGAGCGAGTGGGACCCTGGGATTAGGGGGTTCTGTCCAGTAGCCCTGAAGTCAAGGGGGCTGGAGAACATAAGGGCATCAAACTCTCAACATTCCATGAGCCTTGGCTTTCCTCATGGCTTTGCCATGCTTGAGCCCAAAAGGAAGACGCACAAGCAGCCTGAAGATTGCCTAAGATTCAAGGCAAAATGAGGGGTCGAAAGCTTTCAGTGTGCTCAGAGGATAGACAGAAGCAGGTGAGGCAGTGGGACTTGAAAGCGGTCAGGGCTCTTGCCTCAACACCTGCGAGGCCATGATCTCCAATCTCCTTTTATCCAGAAGCCGCAGAACAGCATCAGCATTATTCCGCTGCTCAACAAGGCTTCCTATGCGTGCTCCATGGATATCATCGACTTGCAGCTAAGCTTAAGGTATACCAGCCGGCGATGAGCAGCTAACACCGCGTAACCCCACCTGGAGAGTCCGCTTCTAACTGGCAATCAGAGGCCAGGTTGTCTGCAGAAAAGGCAGATCTTCCCAAGTTTGTCATGCTCTGACTGTCCACACCTTCTCGGAGTGCAGACAACCTGGGCCAATAATCCTGCCCCAACAGACAGGACGCTCCTGAACCTCTGACCTGTTTGCATGGCTGAAGCACACAGTGAAAACAGACTTTATTCTGAGAGCTATCCTGCAAGGACTGCGTGCACAGCTAACCATAGAATTCATCTAATGCATCTGCATTCAGGTCCGGGTGGAGCGACTCAGACCGACCAAATCTTCTTCATTGAGCTTATGGTGAAACTAGTTGACTGGCTGCTACAAGCGTCTTGCTTGTGCGTCCAGGTAAAGACCTACAGTTTTTGGCTAATACACGGTAGTGCTGTGTATGTAGCCCAAAGGAATGCAACACACAAATCCAGAAACAGACCCCAGAGGCTGCTGCGATGAGTTCAGCGACTCAAATGGCAATCCCCTGGTTCGGCTGGTACCTCGGCTCGATTTTTTTGCTGTTTTATGTGTCCAGGGTTTAGGGCTTGGGGTTTAGGATGGTTTAGGGTTTAAGGGCTTAGAGTTGAGGATGGTTTAGGGCTTAAGGTTTTTAGGGTCGAGGGCAGGAACTGATTCCAAAGTCCTTCATCCTTACAGTACCTCAGTGCGCCTTAACCCCACCCTTGAATCCTGTACCCCAAAGACTAAACCCTAATCCCAAGAGTAGATAGAGGAAATCTTGGACCACCTAGTATACCTTGTACCCCCAGTAAGTACAATATTTGGGGAATCTTAAGAGGTGCACCAAACCCTAACCCTTACACTCCCGGAAACTAAGATGGAAACCCAAAAGGGCCCTATAAAGACCACAGTCCTTCTAGAAGGGGGCTATATGGGTTTCCATGTTAGTTTGGGGGAGTGTATCCACAGTACCTGCTACCATCCTGCCACTCTGCCCAGCCAGGCTCCAGGCGGCACGATGAGCCGCGGCTGAGCCCCGCTGCAGCTGGCGATGCACTCCAGTGCCTGCGGCTTAAATGAGCTATAGTCTAAGCTCCTAGTATCCCCGTTCATAACCCCTATAGTAGTCCTCTATATAATCCCCCATATAACCCCTTTTAAGGAGTTTAGACTATAGCTTAAATGTTAAGGCTCAAGGTCTGTTTTGGGCTTGGGCTTAGGATTCAGAGCTTGGGAAGTCAGGGTGGTTGAGAGACTTTGGGTTGGAAACTTCAGGCCTAGCCCTGCTGCAGCTTACGCGAACTATGCGCACCGTCCCAGGACATCTGGATGCAAGTTGGATCCGATTGGATTCTTGTTGCGTCTTTATTTCGAGCTCAGGGTAAGGAGCTTTGGTTGCAGGGTCAGGATTTAAGGTGTAGGGATGTTAGCTTTCAGAGTTCAGGGCTTGAGTCGTTCGGGTTTGCGTTTAGGGTTAGGCCTCAGGGCTCGGGGTGGGGGACAAACATGCTACAAGCAGCATCTATACGACACTACAGCTTGTTTTGGAAAAGGCTGGCAAACATCTTCACAGTGTCTGGGTGCAGGCCCTCAATTCTGATTCATTTCTGGGCTTTTACATGGCACTATCAGCTGTTGTCTCTGTTTTCCGCTGCAGCATCTTGATGTTTATGCGGCAGGCAGTCTTTGGGGCCACTTTTGGGTGGGCATTACATCCCCCAATTGTGTGCCCGGGCTTAGGTTTGGATGGATATGCCGGTCGGCTTTATGCTCCAGAGTTCCGGGTTTTCCGGTGAGAGGGATAGTACTCTTGCGCTCCTGGAAGCCTGGCAGACATCATGACTCAGCTCTGTCAAAGCTGACAAGGTCTGCAACCCAAGAAGGTTCAACTTGAATCACAACAGAAAAGTAGTGGACTGACATGATCTATAGTCTAGACTATAGCATTTTCCCTGTCCCCTATACAATCTTCTTTTCAACCCCCTTTGAGGAGCTTAGACGATAGCTCATGTAAAACATCATTAGACCCTCCAGGAAACCATGGGATAAGGGCTTTGGCAGCCTTGGGAGGCCATTGGACGAAACAGGGCTCCCTATATGAGCTATAGTTTAGACTCCTTAAAAGGGGTTATATAGGGGATTACATAGGGGAGCATTATAGGGCTTCTTAAGGGGAATGCTTGGAATTCAGACTTTAACTCGTATGACCGCAATAGACATCATTTTGGGGGTGTTGTGAACCCCCTTCAGACACAAACGAATGATGTTGAGACGTTGAAAACCATTAAAGCAAGCAACTCTAGGGGAATCCGGGATCCCCAGACCCTAAACCCTAAGTTTCAGGCGCCCACCTTTTCGCTGATCTCTTGGCCCTCCAGGGTCAGCTGGGGGACCAGGGCCTGCTGAGACCTGAGCTTAGAGGTAGGGGTTCAGGTTTTTGGGAGTTCAATATCAGGTTTGGCGCTTTAAAAAAAGTTTAAAGGTAGGTGTCCAGGTTTTGGGGGTCAAAACCGGGTTCAGAGTTTATGTAGGGGTGCAGGTTTTGGGGGGTTGATATAGGGTCGAGGTTCTATCAGGTTTAGGCTTTAGGAGGTTGTTGATGAGTCAGGTCTTTGGACCTGATATTTCAGTTGAGGGCCATAATCCCCCTTAAGTGGATAGAATATGGGGCATATGGGGATCTTATTAGAATATACCCAAAGCCATATTCTATCTACTTAAGGGGGACTGTATGGTCATGCTCCGAAGGGCATTGCAACATGATTCTGTAAAAGCTCACGAATCCAATCCATCTGTAGCAACTTCTAGAAAAGATTCTAGAAACTAGACCTCCGCAGAACCAGGGCGTTAACTTCAAAGTTCAGAAAGTGCTTGCTTCCTCCAATGGGCAAAATGACAGCATTGCATACACCTGAACACACACAGCCTTGAACTCAAACACTCTACCCGCACACCCTAGGTCCCTTTAAAGGAGTAAGTACGGGTCATGCAGGGATATTTTCTCCCAATAATGGAAATTCAAATGGAAGATAAAATAGGACCTGGAGTTATACAGAGGCTTATACAAATAATGAATAGTATTTTTGCGAATCGAGGAGTCGGCCCATCTCAAGGATACCTCACACCTCAGCTTTCACTCTCTGATGGCCCGAATGCAAAGCCCAAGGCTGCGTGCTTCGAGGAAGAGTTGCCTGGCTCAGGGCTCAAATTCCAAAATTCCAAAAGTTGGGTGCTATTCGGGGGCTTCTCAAGATTAGGGGGTACCGTTAAAGGGGTTTTTAGGGGCTTACATAGGGGTTATATAGGGTGTATGGTTTAGGGTTATAAGGATTTCCCAAAATTAGGGGTATACCCCTTTTGGGGGGTCCCCATAATAAGGACGAAATTATTTTTGGGGGGTCTCTATTGGGGTCCATCTCTTTAAGGAAACTGCTATTTGACTGGCACAGATCAAGGGCTGCTTCGCGAGGGGTACTGTTCAAGCTCCCAATGATTTGGGGATTTCAGGGTTTAGGGTTTATACAACAAATTGTATAGGGTTCGGGTCCGGAGTTTTGACCGGGTTTTGAACAATTTTGAGCGTATTTGACCGGGTGTTGAACGAGTTTCCGTTTTAACTTTTGACCTATACTACTTGTGTTTATCTGGCCTTGAGGGTTTAGGGTTTGGGGTTGTTTGGTGGATTGAGCGAGCTCTCTTGCTGGCACTTACTGGGAATGACGCAGATCAATACAACCTGCATTCACATACCATCATCTCTCTGGCGTTTGCAGCTGTAAGCGGCACTCCTCACAGGTAGGCAGGAAGGGAATGAGCAGGCTGCACACGATACGAGGTTGCAAGAGAAAGGGAGGAACGAAGAGGAGGAAGGGATAGCCTACTCCTCGTCTTTTCGTCCCGAGTTGATCGCCAAAGGTTGGTTGTTTGATTGTTGGTTGTGATTCTGCTTTTCTACTTACACAAGGCGCTGAAGGGCTACACAACAGAGCTGGAAGTGTGATGCGTATTTCAAGAGGCGAATCTATCATGCATGCTCCAGGGGAGAAAGCACCGGACTCCAGGTTTTGCAAACATGCTCGGTCTTCTTCGCACACTCGTAGAAGGCCTTGGAGGACTCTGAAAAACCTTCGAACTTAGCTCCATTGGGACTTCTTGGGCATTGGTGGGCCTGGTGAAGGCTATCCATATCGTGAAGTGGAGCCGTTTGCGAATGACCCAATCTCGATGCAACGCAGCGTACACATCATCCCTAAATCATCGTTCCAGAAGACTCATATAGGAACTCGTGCCGTACTCGGAACTGAAACATAGAGACCCGAAATGACCTCATAGGCCTGATGCTCCAGAAGTATACCCATTTCAGGCGTCTAAAACAAGAACCAGGCCTGGAGGCTCTCTGCCGCAACATCTGGTTCTTCCGCCTGTCCGCCGTTTGAAGGAAGAAGCATCTTTGAATAGAAAGTGGCATGAAGGCACGCCAATGTGAGCCTTCATGCGATGCAGCTCATGCTGTTTCCTGAGCTATTCCCCACCTTCCTACTATTCAATGTACACCTATCAGTAGGCCACAACAGCCTGCATCCCTGCAACCTTGACATCGAACCTTTTGGATAAATCTCATGGCCAAACAAGGAATGAGCAAATGCTGCGCAACCTCCTCAGCCGTCCCGCCGGTGTGAAGTGTCGCCTCTGCCGCACGAGCTGAGAGGGCACTGGTTTTGAGGCAGTGTTTTTCATCGTTCCAGCAAATCAGCAATAGAAGAACCAAAATATCGTGAGCCTTACTACTCTTGTCGCGATCTTACTATGTGCGGGCAATCCGGTCCAAGATCCCCAATTCGGGAGGGTTTCAGCACAAGTATAGGACAAATGAGAGGAAAGCGCCCGGACCTGAAATCTGACAAGCTCCAATGCTGATCGTGCTAGCGCCAAAGCAAACCTGAAGCCATCAACTCAAGCCAAGGCTTCAAGCCTCAAGACCTGTATATGGGTTATTCTGAAAACAATGGGCCTCTTTTGGCTGTAGATTCTATTGCGGAACCTAATAGTTAGGGGTACCAAAATGGGATCCTAATCTTGGGCACTACCCATATAGCATCAAAGCCTAACCCGCTTCAACCGACTTACCTCAGTCATGATTCAATCCCCACTTCGGCTCTGGGTCGCAGTTAAGAAACTTAAACCAACTTACCAAAGGAAACCCTATTGTTTACTATGTAACCATATTATGGCAATCTAAACCCTAAGTCCTAAACCCTATATGCCCACATACTATGGTAACTTCAATTACTATCTACCCATGATAACCCCCCAACGGGACGCTGGGACGCCTCATGGGTCGCCACGTCGCGGAGACGCCCCGCGGCCCGGGCCCGAGGCACCCGGGCAGCCACAGAGCCTGCAGCTCTGCTGGCAGAAGGGCCTGTAGAGTGGGAGAATGGAAAAGAAATGGAAACTACTATAGTACATAGGGTTATATAGGGTATATAGGGTCTATAGTGGGGTTATATAGGGAGAATGGAAAAGAAAATGGAAACTACTATAGTACAGGGTTTAGGGTTTGGGGTTGAGGGTTATAATGGGATAACGGAGAAGAAAATGGAAACTACTTTCTAGGGTTTAGGGTTTAGGGGGGCTTCCCAAAGTTTAGGGGTTTAGGACTGGGGGTTATGGGGGGTTATCATGGGGCTTATATAAGGGACTATAGCGCTTTGGGATCTATATTGGAGTCCCCCTATTTTGAGAAACTGCCATATCAGAGTTTCGCAAAAATGGTCCCCATATTAATATACTGTTGAGGCGAACCCCATACCCTGCTTATAATTCCCACGAACTTAGGTACCCTTATTTGGAGAAACCACATGTAAGAGTTTCTCTAGTAAGTGTGTCCATGTCTGATCGACCCTGCGAGAAAGATCCATCACGCTTCTGACCTCAATAGGAACCTCTCATATTGATAAATTTTGTCTTCTAGATTCAAATACTTCTGCTGGGCACGTATAGTGATTTGGTTGGCACTGATTTTGAAAAGAAAGTGTTTCAGGAAAGATTACCTGCCCACGTACGGGAAGCCGGGCGCAAAACATTGTTGTTCGTTGAAGTCAATATGTTGCGCTTTGGTTGTGGCTAGACAAGGTGTGCTGGAAGGAGCTGGAAGGAAAGCAATGAAATCAAGCACTCTTGGTCACTCTCTGAACTTCCATGTTTCCATCGTCGCTGAACTCTTCAGCTGTTCCCTTCTGGATGGACACCTTTCTGAACTACATGGCAAGCTGGCAGAGGGTCTTCGTTGTTGCCTGGCCTTCGCCCGGGAGGACGTGCTCGTCAGTTTGCTCTCCCGGAACCTCCTGCCACAGGCTAGGCAGAGATACGGAGGGGCAAGATCCTACTACTGTTCAAGCGCGCGATGCTGAACGCCTGCTGCGCAGATTTATGGCGCAGCATCAAAGTTCAAGGCAGTAAAGGCCTGAGAGCTGAAGATTTACAGCATTTCGATTTAACCTCTGTGCCCGTGTCGTTAAGCTTTCTGCATCAGGGTCAGACTTTCATTCACCGGACTGTGAGGCTGCACTATGCTGTTGTGGTCTGTGTGAATGTTGCTGTCACTATTCAAAGGTTCAGGTGGGGCCTGGGAACATAGCCTGCCAGGCTCTGCCCAAATAAGAATGCCTGGGGCTTCCTTGTGAACGAATAGTTCCTTGCCAAGAGATAAAACTGCCTTCCTGCTAGTCCCACACAGCATCCAGTCCGTCAAAATCTACGTAGACACCCAGAATAGTTACGCGACACTGGGGCCAAAAAAACTTAGCGACCACTGGTCATGACCCCTAGACCAGCCTTACATGCACCTTATGAAACCACAAATCCCTGGAACCAAATGCCACCCGCCGGGAAACGAGGCCTTGATGTCCTCGTTTGCCGCCAGAGGCCTGACAGTGCTGCCACGGAAAGAAAAAACTGTTTTGTAGTTTCCATGTTCTTTTTCAGCGTGCCTGCCCTGCACAACACACAGTGATATCCTACTTTCCTGAAATGCAGGGATGGCGAGTTGATTGAATTGCCGTGAGCCATGGTTGAGTGTCCTCGCGCCTTCGGATTGGCACGCTCTGGAGGCTGGAGACGTTGAAGGGGAACACTTTGCTAAGATTGAGCGCAGACTTGCGTACAGGACGCTTTGACGTTTTGCAGCTCGTTTGTTAGACTGGCGCTGGCCTTCAAGACACCTGAACTGCCAACGAATTACTCTGGGCTTGGGATCCTGCACAGCCTCAGCGTTCTCTCGAGCATGAACTCTGGAGCCAGTAGACCCACGTGAAGCCCAACATCTGGGTTGCTGTTAAGGAACTTAAATTAAGTTACCATAATGGGTATATATAGCAAATAATAGGGTTTCCCCAATATAGTAACTTAACTTAAGTTCCTTAACAGCAAACCAGACATTGGGCCACATCCGATTAAAGATCCCAATCGGTAGAGAAAATCAAAATCTCAACCACGTGTCCTGAACCTGCCCAACTTTAAGCGCTGCGGACACACCATGGACCGAGAACAAGAAAGCATGCCCTAAACCCTATATATATATATATATCCCTATATGATCCTATATACCCTATATATCCCCCTTTAGAGGTACCCCCTAATTCTGGGAAACCCCATATCCAGGATCCTGAGGCCTGGGCACCCTCCCAGAAAAAGCTGAGAGCGCAACCCTTCGGATGTGTCGCCCTGCAGAAAGCATCAGTTGAACACAGACTGGTTTGCTGCTAAGGAACTTAAATTCAGCCACTACTGCTGAGGAAACCCCACGATTCACAAGATACCAATGTTGTGGTAACTTAGACCCGAAACCTATGTACCCATATGGTAGTTTCCCAAAATAGGGGACCCCAACATAGACCCCAATAAAGCATAATCCTCATCAGGAGGACCCCCATAAAAGTACCCCTACTTCTAAGAAACCCAAGACCCTAATCCTAAACCTTACATAACCCCTACAGAACCCCTATAGAAGCCCTTTAAGGGTACCCCTGATTTTGGGAAACCCCGTATTACGGCAACTTAAGTTAAGTTACTCAACCGCGACCCAGCAGAGGCTTGGGGCATGCGATGCAGGATCCTCGAGTTGAGAGCTCCGAATCCACACCCAAGAAAAAAGACTTAACTGGTTGTGAGTATTTTAGAGTATTTTGTGTATATAAATGCAGATACACACATGAATATAGGTGTATATACATACATATACATATATTAAACATATATATATATATGTGTATATGTAAAGGGTTTAGGGTTACTAGGGAATCAGGGAATATGTTGCAGGGTTTAGGGTTTAGGGATTAGGGTTAGTCTGGAATAAGGGAATACATTATAGGGTTTTGAGTTTCGCGATTAGGGTTTCGGGTCAGTAGCGAATCAGGGAATACATTATGAAGGGATGATATGTGTGACGGTCAAAGCTCCTTACATCTGGCAACATAATATTGGGGGGGTCGATTTTCAACGCTCCTATCGCTTTACCAGGTTTAGTACTCAACCTGCCATCATATGAATCTCGGGCTTTCGCTTTTTAATGTTCCCCATCGCTTTACAGGGCTTTCACCTGAAAACTCTGGGCTGTCGCTTTTCAATGTTCCACTTGCTTTACAGGATTTTTGCTTCTCATGTCCGCTACTGACATAACTCGTGACAAGCGAGAATTGACTGTGGCCGATATAAGGAACATATTCCGATACCCTAAACCCTAAACCCTAACAACCAGTAAGAAGACCCGGAACGGATTTGGACCTTGGCCAAAGGAATTTCAGGGGAGCCTGTTTCTGCTGTAGACCACAAATGGAACAAGGCTTAGGGCTTAAGGTTAAGGGTTGAGGGTTTAGGGTTTAAGGTTAAGGGTTTAGGGATTAGGGATTTAAGGTTGAAGGTTTTAAGGCTTAAGGTTTAAGGTTTATGGCTTATGGGTTATGGCTTAGGGTTTACGCTTTCAACGACAGGCCGCTGATTGAAGCCCCCGGATGCTGACGGACTTATAACTATACATGCTCAAAGTGCTGTAGGTTCGTAGGAAACGAAGGAGTGGATCCTCATAGCAATCTGCGGATCCCTGCAACCCATTCCCCTATTCCCTGCCACAATAGCTACTATAGCTGGCAAGAAATCACGCAGCTGCCCGCTCTAATTTGCACACTGCTGCCTCAGAAGCTTGCGGAGGCTTGCCCAAGGATAGGGCCTTGGCTCACCATCAAAAAAAAGTGTATGCAGGCTTGTGAAGTTGGTATTCTGTAGGATTTAACAGGGCTCTTACAGATACGGGAGGAATATGTCGCCTTTGTAGCTCACGCCGCTTTCGATCTTCGCCATTCGGCTTATATGCCGCTTTCAGCTGTACAAAGTCTCTGGAAAATGTCGTGCTGTTCTGTGAGGAGCGTTTGACCTGCGCAACCTCCTTGGAATACATCTGCACATATAGTCCCCCTTAAGTAGACAGAATATGGGGGTTATATAGGGATAATGGAAAAGAAAATGGAAACTACTATATTATAATGGGGTATATATTGGGGTTATAGTCCTTAAGTAGATAGAATATGGGGTATATGGGCATCTTATTCTAATGTACTCAAAACCATATTCTATCTACTTAAGGGGGACTATACCGTGATACCACTGCGGATGCCTGAAGCCTGGCCACTTTTGGGCCCTTCCTATCCTTCACGTCTGCACGGATTGCACTTAAGCCATAAACCTGTCCTAAGCCGCCTCGGGTACACCACTGGTTAACATCCTTGATCAGGGGGTAGGGCCTATAATGGAGAAGAAAATGGAAAATGAAATGGAAACTGGGTTTATATAGGGGTTATATTGGGGATTTTGATTATCCAAGGATAGACCCAGAAGCAAATGTGCTATACCCCCAGCTGCCGGGAAAGCCATTTCAGGGATTCCCTTCTGAAAATGAAACCGGTATTCCACCCACCTCTCGCCAGTTGCAGAAAGGCTGCAGGTTGTGTTGCGCTAGAAGCCTCACATGACGCACATGACGCACACAGCAAAGCTGCATGAAGCACTGGGTTCATCATTGTGGCCGTTGTCTGGGGATGTTTCGTTGCAGATTTGCTGGCTGACTGCACTGTGTTCACACAAACGATGCCTGTTGCAACTCCAATGAACGCGATGATAGCCACCATCGTGATGGGGAGGATGTTGATGGTTGTCAGTACAGCCAAAATTTCCATAACACGATAAGAAGATGGGTCCGTATTTGGGAATGGGGACTATACTAAACTACGAAAGGGACCGCCATGTCCACCTTTAATGGCCACTTAGTTGTCCATGATTGGGATATAATTTCCTACACATGGCATAAACCCTAAACTGATTGCTATGTATCCCACAGAAGCAACTTACTTTTCACCCTAAGCCGCAAACCCTAATCCCTACACCCTGAACCCTAACCCCTAAACCCTAAACCCTAAACCCCAAGCCTAAACCCTAAACCCTAAAGTCGGGCCTGCGACGGGGGCTTCACCACCTCGGCCGTAGGCCCTGCGGCAACATCGCCGCTGCCACCACCTGCTGATGACGGGTTTCTCGCAGCCGGGGGGGGGGGAGGGAAGGTTTAGGGTTTAGGGCTTAGGGTTTGGGAGGGGGGGGCAAGGAATGGGGCGAAAGACCTAAAGGGTATATATTTTCAGGGATGGAGAAACTCCCATGATGGCCAGTCTGAATTCTCACAACTGCAAAGTAACACGCTGGGAACAGAAACATGTAGTGAGATGCGAACCTTCCAGTGGCATCTATAGGCTAGCCTTCGCGGTATCATCTTGAAGTCGGGCAGTTACAGGCAAACAAAATCCCCAAAGGAGAAGTATATGAGCCATAGTCTAAACTCCTAGTATCCCCCTTAATAAGCCCTATAATCCTTCCCTATATAATCCTCTATATAACCCCCCATGAAGGAGTTTAGACTATAGCTCATATAGACACAGATGAGACATGATAGGCCATCCTGCTGGGTAAAAGTCGTCAAAGGCGTATCGTCTTTGCAGGTGTGGATCGGTTTGATCGGTTTGAGGGTCTTCTGCCCTCCAGATACACACACCAGATACACACAGCACACACAGGGTTTAGGGTTTAGGGATGCGCCCTGTCTAGTTCAGGTCTCCTTCTGAAACTGCTGAGTTTTACAGTTGTCTGTGTCCATGGCCCAAGTATTGCAGCCTGCTGCACCCCTGCTCAACAAGTCTTCATCCTCAAACCATCTTCAGGAGCGCCAAGAAAACCTGCCTGTTAACCTATAACGGCTGCATTCACGCTTACAGCTCCCTTTTTTAGAAAATGCATCTGCCACTTCTTCTATGTACAGCATGAGCCATGTTTGGGCATCTGCATACCCTAGGCAATCTTGACACGCAAGATGGAAAGACAAGGGAACCCAACAATTCATAAAGCCTAGCAAAGGCCCTTCAACTTCAACCCTAATTGAGGCGGTCGCATTGTAGAACCTCAAGTAATCCTTGCTCCAATGGCTATGGCTTTTGGGAAGCTCCGAACTGATTTGGACCTACACCCTCATCCCAAAACCCTACACCCTAGATCCTAACACCTAAGCCTCAAACCCCTAATCCCTAAACCCAACACCCTAAACGCTAACATTGAAGCCTTAAACTTAAACCCCACAGATCCTAATCCCTAAACCCTTAACCCTTATCTCTATAAGCCCTAAACCCTAATCACTAAAAACCTTCACCCCTAAACCCTAATCCCTAAACCCTAATCCCTGCTCCCTAAACCTTAAGCCCTAATCCCGAATCCCCAAACCCTAATCTGAACCAGACCTTGATGCATGGATCCGGGGTTGGCTGCTTCCGGTGCAGGCTCCTGCAGAGACAAAAAGGTACTTGAGGGATTTTATAGGGGTTTAGGGTTTAGGGCTTAGGGTGTAGGGTGTAGGGTTTAGGGTTTAGGGTTTAGGGTGTAGGGTTTAGGGTTTAGGGTGTAGGGTTTAGGGTTTAGCGTTTAGGGGCATATATAGGGATTCTAGGGGAGATATTGAGCTTCTATAGGCATATGTAGAGGTTATATGTGAGGGTTATGTTGGACTTACATGAGGATTTTATAGGCGTTGCACAGGGGTTAGATGCGGGCTCTACTAGGGGCATATAAGAATACTTAAAATCTAGGAGTGCGGGGACTGCATGAGGACAACATAAAGGATTATATAGGGGATATGTGAGGGTGATAGGGTTTTGTAGGGCTTGCATAGGGGGTTAGATAAGGGATATGGCAGGGAAAGTATAAGGGTATATGGAATTTAGGAATGCTTCAAAATCAGAATCCCCCCTGCCTTTGCAAGTGTAATCAAGATTCTTTGGCAGATGAGCTATAGTCTAACCTCCAAGTATCCACCTTAATAACCCCTGTAGTAATCCCCTATATAATCCTCTATAGAACCCCCTTCAAGGAGTGTCGACTAAAGCTCATATGCAGGTCCAGCCTTAGTCTTGGGAAAATTTTGCAGGATCGGTGGGCACCTTGAATCTAAGCTAAAATATTCCATGGGTTGATAACACGGCTTGTAATTTCGTTTGCGAAGCATGGGTGCAGAACGATGCACGAGAGCTTCATGGGCCCGTTCCTTTCTTGAGTCTGTCTGCTTCGTGAAAATTAGGATCTCTTTGAACGTAGACATGACGCTGCGCTAGAGGAGAGATAGTGCGCACTTCAGCTGGAAACAACTCATGATGCACCTGATAAGTGAAGACTCTACCACCCCTTGTAGTGGCAGAATCGACCAAAGAGATTCGCAAGTCATACCAGCCACCTGGCAACCCTGAGTCCATCCGCAAGCACCAAAGGCACAACAAACAACTTAAAACCTACCCTGTGGGCCCTCAAACTTTGGAACATTTTGGAACACACCCTTTGCCTCGATGGGATCTGGATCCACCGAGTCGCCATTTGGGCTCATCGGGGGTCGGTTCGTGACCTTCCCACAGCCAGGGTCAGAAGAGGCAGGATCTTTTTGGTCACTGCCAAGAGGACAGCCTGTAGATGGTAGCTTCCCTAAATAGGGGGACCCCAACATAGACGCCAAAATACTATACTCCTAATGATAGGGACCCCCAAAAGGTACCCCTGAAAAAGCAAAACATATGCACTCAACAACGTTCCTGAGGACACTCACCGAAAACTACAAGCCATGATAATTCGACTTGTATCACAGGGGTTATATTGGGGTTATATAAGGGGTTATATTAGGGTTGTATTGGGGGTGTATTGGGGTTATATTGGGACTAACTTGCTTGAGATTTGCCAGGCCGAACTGATCCCAGGACTCAATCTTTATATGCATCCAGGCTTTCTAGAAGTAGAGTCCCCCTTCTGGTGGCCAATAGGCACGAGGCTGAGAGTATGTTGAGGTGTCTTCAGGCAAACTCTTTTTTGTCAAGAATCGCTATAACAGCACTTTACTGAGAGTCCCCAACTGACCCCAAAGCTCTTGCCTGCGAGAACCTCATGTGTCTTTACTACTGAACCCTAAACCCTAAACCCAAACCCTAAACCCTAAATCCTAAGCCCTAAACCTAACAATGCATCTTGAAACAAGCGAGATCAACAGCAGCACCTCCAGGAGAAGAGCCTCAGAGGGCGGCTCTGCACGGCAGCCTGGGAGATTTAGGGTTTAGGGCTTAGGGTTTAGATTGTAGGGATTAGGTTTTTTAAGCGCCTCTTTTAACCCGCAAAGGGCTTAGGCTTTAGAGCTGAGGGCTGAGAGAGTTCCGGGCTCAAGTTTGAGAATTTTGAGAGCGCTGAGGATAAATAAAGCATTTCGAGATTTGTTGGGTTTCACGGTTCAAGGATTTGTGGCCCCGGGCTGGGGGTGAGAGTGTGGTTGTGATTGGCACCTTCGGTTCAGAGTTTGATAAATTTCTTCGGGTGCTGGATTCCTACCAAGATGAGAAATTTGTGCATTTTGGGCTAACCCCTATAGTTTCCAGTTTCGTTTCCATTATCCCAATATAACCCCGAATCCAATAACCCAATATCTTCTTACATTACTGGTACCTCTGCATCCCATCCCTCATCCTGAAACCCACTACAAATTGCAAAGCATGAGCGCAAATGCAGCCGACACACCGTCGAGCTGAGCTATTCGTTCCTGGACAGAATGGCGAAAGATCCACAGCTCCTGGCACAGAAACGCGTGACTTCCATTGGTGTCTACAATCCGTTTCGCCGACATGGACTTACGGCGAGCATTCCACTTGATGAGTCGCGCTTTACAACTCGCGTTCTCCTTCTTGTGTGCTACTGCAATTTGTTCATAGATGGTCCTGGACCAGGGACTAGGATTATCCGGAGAAGCATTCTTTGGGCTTGGCGTATCTCAGGTTGAATCTAAGGTGGAGGCAGATTTAAGGTCTACAGTTCGCTGCGTGTCCTCGGGAGTCGGATCGGGCGCCTCGAACATCAGCTTCACCTGGCCATACCGAGCCCCTGATCGCGAGGATTGGGGCATATTGGGGCTTTTGAATTTACTAAGTAGAACTCTGAAAGTATACCACGGTGTGTCTGAGAACCAGATCACCTACGCTACTATGCTAACCCCCACTTGTAGTACCCGAGTTTACAAGAACCATAGGGACGCGGCGGGTGCAGCATAGGCGCTTTCGCGATCAGTGGCCCGAAGGCAGCATGAGAGTTGGGATGACAATCTTTTGGAGATATCTGGAAGGAAGTCCAAATGGCTAGGAGATCCAAGGGTTTAGGGTTTAGGGTCCCTGTGCCTTCACGTTGCTGACGGCACGGAGCCACAACTCCTTCTCATCAGCATCGCGCGCGCAGAAGCGATGACTGGGCGCAGAGTGCTTGTTGATGGCACTTGGTGGGCACAGGGCATGCTTGAAGGATTGCAGAGGCTTGACATAAGATAAGCAAGAATGAGCAGAGAGCTACATCAAAGAAGAGATCATGTTCCAGGATATGATTTATGAATCAAGATTATGAAAACACCATACAG